TCAGGGACACCCCCTAGCATTGGGGAGTTTAGCCTCTCATAATATTCATGAAAAAAAAAACATAAAGATTATACATTACAAGAATTATGATTGGAAATTTGATCTTCAATCGCTTCCGTTCATGAAAATCGCCTTCGCACCAAAGCTTCAGTAACTTTTGTTTTCTCGAATATTTTATCGTGCAAGAAGAAGTCCCCAAAACCTAGAAAAACTCCTCTAAATAGAAAAAGATCTCCTCTAAAAATATCCCAATCCCAATTGATTACCGAATCTTTTCCGAAAAAGGAAAGTATAAAATATTACCGGCCTGCCTACTACGGCCAATAGTAGGTGATACGGGTGATCGTAGCAGGCCACCGGATGGGCTTGGCTTGGGTACTCTGGCTACTACGGCCCGTAGTCGGTGCTACGGGTGGTTGTAGCAGAGCACTGCCTCTACGACTCTTTCATAAAAAATTAGGGCTTTGAGCTTTCCTTCTGCTACGACTTGTAGAACACACTATGGGTAGCCGTAGCAGATCACTGGTCTTTGGCTTTTTTTCCTGATTCTTCTTGAACACTTATTTATCTTAAAAAACAATAAAGGGCACAACCGAAGCATAAAATGCGGCAAAAGAAAATAACATGCTAAGAAGATAATGAAAAGATTAATTAAAATTAACGGTAAATGAAAGCATAGAAACCACTTATCACTAATTCTACCTCTGAAGGAGATTCCGCTTATGAAAGAGATTATGCCTTTGAAGGTGATTCTAAATCTGAAGGAGAGTCTAATATGAAGATGACACTGACTCTGAAAATGAGTCTGACTCTGAAGGTCAATTTGACTTTGAAGGTAAGTCCCACACTGATAGTGGATATGAATTTGAAGTTAATCATGCCTCTAAAGGTGATCCAGCTTGTAAAGGTAGTCTGGCTTCTGAAGGTGAAGCCTCTAAAGGTGGAGCCTTTGATGGTGGAACTTTTGAAGTTGGAACTTCTAATGGTGGAGCTTCTAAAAGTGGTCCTACTTCTGAAGGTGAACTTGCACAATTCTAGAGGCCATAAAGAGTTAGAGATATACCAAGGAGACTTGCAGATTTTGAGTTGTTGCAAGGTACTGAGATTAAATTTGAAGGGGAAGTCATATAGATAGCTATGATGGTTGGCTCTGAATCTTTCAGCATTAATTAGGCTTTCAAAAAGAAAGTGTGGATGAACGTCATGATGGAAGAGCTTGAGGCCATTGAAAGAAATAAGACATTGGAATTGATTGTTCTACCTCAAAACAAGAAAGCAACCATTATGATATACGTTTTCAAGATAAATTTGAAGCCAGATGGTTCAAGCCAAGCATAAAGTAAGGTTAATAGCTAGAGGATTCCTACAAAAGTATGGATTAGACTACTTTGAAATGTTTGCATCTGTAGCTAAACATGAAATCATAAGGTTGGTTATTGTTATAGCTGCAAATAGTAATTGGCATTTGATACATTTAAATGTAAAGTAAGAATTTCTAGATGGTCCATAACAAGAAGAAGTTTATGTGTTACAACCTTCTGAATTTGTAAAAGAGAACAAAGAAGGGGTGGCGTACAAGCTGGATAAAGCCTTGTACAGGCTTAAACAAGCTCTAAGGACTTGGAATCTGGAAATTGATTCATTTTTCAACCATCTAGGATTCATAAAATATGAAATGGAACATGGTGCGTATGTGCTGTATACTTCTAAAGGCAATGTAATTTCGGTGTGTCTTTATGTGGATGACATACTTTTGACAAGGAGATGTACTTCTGAGATAAACAAATTCAAGAAGGTGCTGATGAATACATTTGATATGAGTGACCTTGGAAATATGGTATGTTTTCTAGGAATGGAGATTTTGCATTATGAGAAGGAAATTATTATGCACCAACTAAAGTATAAACTTGAGCTACTTAAGAGATTTGAGCTGATGAATTGTAAGTTAATAGTCACACCTGATGAGGCAAAACATAATGTAGATGCTAGAACCTTCAAATACTTGGTTGATTTTCTGAGATATAACACCAGGCATGACATATGCTATGTAGTTGGAATGGTGAATAGGTTTATGAGTAAACCAAAGTGGTCACATTACCAAACTACAGTCAGGATTCTGAGATATGTAAAAGGGACTCTGAGGCATAGAGTTTTGTTTCTATTTGGAGTGTCAGCTGTAATTGAGCTGATATATATGCTATTTAGACTCTGACTAGTGTGGAGACAAAGTAGACAGAAAAAGCACTACATGATACATGTTTATGTATCTAGCAGCCCCCATTTCTTGGTGTTCCAAGAAGCAATCAGTGATTGCATTGTCAACCTGTGAAAATGAATACATAGTTGGTGCTTTGTCAGCTTGTCAGGCTGTTTGGCCGATGAATTTGCTACTGGAGTTGAAGTTCAAGGTGAGAAAATCAGTCAAGTTGATGATAGACAACAAATCTGCCATAAGACTTGCTAAGAATCCAGTGTTGCATGGAAAAAGCAAGTACATTGATACCAAGTACCATTTTCTGCGCAATCAAGTTCATAATAGAGTACTTGAGGTTATTCATGTCAGCACTAATAAGCAACTTGCAGATGTGTTCACCGTGACAATCAAAACTGAATATTTCATCAATTTGAGGGATGTAATTGATGTTGTTGATTTTTAAACTTGAATGTGAATTAAAGGATATTGTTGAATGTAATTCAACATTCAAGTTAGTTTAACTTTGAATTTCATTTGCATTTAAATTTATGTATGTATTTGAATATGAATTTACATTTAACTTGCATTTGAGTTTGGGTGAATATATATAAGTCCAAATGAAAGTAAATTCTTAATAGATTTTAATATTTTTCTGAATTGAAAAAATTAATTAAAATATTTTGTTTCTTTCTAATTCTTTCATCTTCATCTTCTTCATTTCTTTTATACATTAACTTGAACTCCAACCTATTTCACATTATATTCTGAAGTTTTTTTCTAACTTCAACTGAATGGCACGTTTACGTCAATTCTACCGCAAGAACATACACACCATAAAACCAGTGCAGAATTCAAAGCAAAGTGAATTGTGTAGGAATTACAAATCATCACCAATTCTACATTCCTAATTTATTTTATTTTATTCCACTATGTTAGCCAATAGGTTTAATACCTTTTCTACAAATTAAATATTCTATACAATGCTTGTGAACCAATAAAATAACTCGAGTTTTCTAATTATAGTATAAAATGGTGGATGGTTTATACAATGCTAATATAATACTTTAAGTAATATTGCCAAACATTTTTCCTCAAAACAAAAATGGATAGCATTGTAATCATAAAACTATTATTTTTGAAGTTTTTGTCTATATTTGATTTTAGTTTCTTTATTTTTTATTTTTGTGAAATTCAATGTATAATTGTACTTGCTCTTAGTATGTAGATTTTTCTTGTTTTAAAGAATACAAGAAGATTTATTTGGTTTAGATTTATAAAAAGTAATTAATTTTTTATTCTATTTCCAAATGAATATTTATAGACATACACCCAAATAAAGGAATCAAGTAGGACTGGACAATTTTTGTCGGTTTCGAGTCTAAAATTTAAATTCGACATAAACTATATTTTTATTTTTATGGTCCAGTTTTGACCGATAAAATTTTATTTTTTAGTGAATTTGATTAAATCAGTTTGACGGATAAATCAATTCGATTTAATCGATGTAATATTTATTAGAATAAACTTATAAAATTGCTTACTTTTTATAAAATTTACATTTACCTTTTAATTTTTCAAAAAATAATATCAAAATTTTAGAATAATCGAAGAATTATTTTTTTATTATTAAAAAATTTATTATTACGTGATAATATTTTCAATATCATTTAACATTGATTTAATCATTATCATATTTTAAACCATAAATTAAATAATACTTAAAATTTTATAGTTCATATTTTGTATTTTGGAAAATACACAATATCACTATTAAATTATAAAAATGATAATATTTTGACAATACTATGTATATCATTTTTATAATGAGTCAGCTCTATAGTAATATATATATATATATATATATATATATATATATATATATATATATATATATATATATATATATATATATATATATATATATATATATATATATATATATATATATATATATATATATATATATATATATATATTCAGTATGTTTTACCTTTTAATGTGTCTAAATTAATTATCTGAATCTAACCGAAATAACCTATACTATTCAAATTAAACAATTGAATCAACCTAACACCCAACCTGACTCGACTCATTTGCACAAAAAAATACAATTGATCAGTCGATTTAAATCGAACGGTTTAAATTTGTCCACCCTATAGTTAAGGATCTTTAAGTCTCCCAAATTTGATTTAAGGAGTGATTGAGATAAGTCATGTTCTATTGATCCCTTAATTGGATGGTTTATACAACTATATATATATATATATATATATATATATATATATATATATATATATATATATATATATATATATATATATATATATATATATATATATATATATATATATATATATATATATATATATATATATATATATATATATATATATATATATATATATATATATATATAATTGATCCCTTAAACAATTGAAGCATAATGAGAAATGGAAGATATTCTTTTGTCATATCTAGTGGCAACTTGCTCTTAAATGGTGGACTCGCCGGGTTTTTTGCATAACACTAGTATTCTTTTCACACATAAAGTCTTCACCTTATCATGTGCCAACTACTCTAAATTTTATTTTTCTGTATAAACAATAAAACTTTCGGAGAAGGTTCTATAATGAAGTAGCCATGAAATTCAAAACTCTGAGTTGTCACAAACAACAAACTACCCTTATAACTTTCTTCCATCAAAGTTTACATAGAAGCATAAACCTTTAAAACCTAAACGAGTATATTCACAGTGCTACAAATATATAAACCAGTAGTAACATATAGTCACATAATTAGCATCAACATGGCATGGCCATATTCATCTTCATCTTCCACATCTTCATCCAACAATACACCTCAAGAAAAGCACGAAGTGTTCATTAGTTTTAGAAGTGAGGACACACGCAAAACTTTCACAAGCCATCTTAACGGTGCTTTGAAAAGATTAGATATAAAAACTTACATAGACAACAATCTCAAAAGTGGTGATGAAATACCGAATTCTCTCGTTAAGGCCATCGAAGAAGCCAAGCTTTCCATCGTTGTTTTCTCAAAAAACTACGCGGAGTCGAAATGGTGTTTGGAAGAACTTATGAAAATACTCAAATGTAAAGAGACGAGAGGACAAGTTGTAGTGCCGGTTTTCTATGATACCGATCCTTCTAATGTAAGGAATCAAAGAGGAAGCTATGCTGAGGCTTTTGCTAAGCATGAGAGGAAGCTTGAGGAGACAAAGAAGGTGCAAGAATGGAGGAATGGTTTGGCAGAAGCTGCTAATTTTTCTGGTTGGGATTGCAACGTCAACAGGTAACTTTTATAGTTTATAACTTTATATCAATCAACTTCTTTCAATCTTTTGTTCTATTATTGAAACTTGAGATCTTTACAGGACAGAATTGGAGTTGGTTGAAGAAATTGCAATGGATGTTCTTGAAAAGGTGGATCGAGTTTATGTTGGTGATCTTGATCATGAGATTGATAAGTTAGAGAAACTTGCAAAGCTCCAAAATGAATTCTATCATAGAATTATTACTGTTGATAATCTGAACAAGTATAACGCAACTGTGAAACGTATTACAGAACTTAAAATGGAGAGAAGTCTTCGTTTGCTTCGATTGACACCTGATTTGCTTTCACATTTAGAGGGTTTTTCAAACAACAATAGTTGGTCTCCATTTTAAACTACTTGATGTATTAGTTTTATGAGGATTCAGTTTATGTTAATTAATTTTATGCCAAGTTTCAATTTGATGAGTGTGATGATGAATGAGATTTCTTAATAAACTGAGTAGTTTATGAAGTTGGAAAATTAAGGTTGATAGTTCAGCATCCTCTTAATTTGGTAGATGTATAAATAAAATATCAGCTATTGATTTATATTACTGATATATTATAGCAATATTAGACTTGGTATCTGGTGGATGGCCCAAAAAGTTAATAAGGTCGGATTTGGTTTTCGCCAATAATATTATTGTATTTGGCGTGCATATATAAATGTTGGGTGTCTCGAATCGATAGGTTTTAATACCACAAAAAATTAGAGAATTTTTTAATGCATCCCATATATTATCAGTGAACCACGTGAAAATACTAAAATACTCTCAGATTTCGGAGATGCATCTTCGAACGCACTTCAAGCACATAAAATCTATGTTAATTCTGAGCGACACCCTAGGAGTGACCTTTTTGTTAATCCTGAGAGCATCTATGGAATATGTCTGTAGATTCGTTTCCATAAGATTATGAATCAGAAACAGAAGTAGAAAATCAGAAAGTTGTATTTTAAAAAAAATAAAATTATCATTCATAACATAAAATCAGCATTACATAGATGATTTCAACATAAAATAAAACATTACATTTCAATATTCAGTTGAACGCTTCGACATCTTCACAATATCTTCGACGGATCTTAAAATCGTCGCTTCCAACTCGATCACAACTTTTGTTTCAAAACGGAAAAATTTATTACGCATAGCCCTTACATCTACATCCATGTTCAACTCATAGTTTTTGTACTCAATCTTGTTGACGTTGTTAATTGACTATGAACAGTACTCAAGCTTCATAATTTTTTTATTATCTCCGTAAGGTAGGAGATTATGCACTTCTTATTGCAGATCTGTAAAAGAGATGTACTCATTGAGCTTATACTTTCTCTAGAGTGTCGCGCTGGAGAATGAGACATTTGCAGCATATAAAATGATGTTTATTTGTGACATTTGAGACATTTTCTATTTGTGTGAAATAAAAAACAAGAGGCTAAATTTATAGAAGTTGTAGATAAATGTGGACCTCAAAAATTATGTCATGTACCAGTGCTGATTTCGGAGATATATTTTTGATACCGTTCTATTATCTTATTTTGGAGATACCCTCTAGAACCTCTCCTAAATTAGACAGAAGACAAAACCTGTGTTTTATTTGAAAAATGAACAATTTTTTGGCAAGCATCAAAATGTACTAAAATATTTGAAATTGTATATATTACACTTCATTAATATTAATACACAATTGTATAAACTTAATTGATGACGAAAAACTAAAAAGAATTGAAAGATTTGCCGTTGGCTAAATCTATAAGTATGGGTGATACCCGCTTTGACTTTTGCGCATTTGATTCTCTTTCAATGTTGCTCAATTTGTCGAACTCTTGCATCCTTTCCACAAATTGGTATGGCCAAGTCTCGACTTTTATTGTTGAATGAGTTGTCCACTACACTGATGTAAGTTGTATAGGGCTTCCGATTTCAAATAAACTTGAACAAAGTGTCGTGATTTTGAAAGCCATCCAAGACACATAGTACGATAATTTGGATTTTTAGGTGGGGCGGCGCATAGTGGAAAAAAGGTTTCTGAAAAAAGTGTATCTTGTAAGATCAATACACACTTTATCATATACACTTGCTATGAGATGACCTATTTCAGAGAAGCGCATTTATTGTACCTCCGGTGTCGGTTCACTAATGCAAAGAACAAGAAACTCATAAATTGCATCAAAATTTTCTTTCTTTCCATAAAGTCGTGTGTATGACTCTTTATGGATCCTCAACTCATGAATAAGTTGATGGTGGACTAGTGTGTGATTATCTTCTCCTTTACCGAGTAAATCTGAAACAGTTCGATATCTGTAATTATTGTTCCCTTCAACATTGGCGATCCGCTCGATGTATTTGTGCATAAAAGTCGGCATCTTGTCAATGAATGGAATTTTTTGTGGAGGCAGTGAAGGAGTTGGTTTGCTAATGCGAGATCCTTTAAACATACTTTTTTGAGATTTTGGAGTTGGTGAGTCTGAAAATACTTTGTCAACATGTTCAAAATACGAAGAAAATCGCACCATTGAATTGTCACTTGATGTAGGCTTGAGCTTCTTCGGAGCACCTTTGGTTTTTACCAGTTGAGATGGTGGTTTCAAGTCAGTGGTTTCTAGATAAGCAATCTTCCTCAATTTTTTTTTAATGTGGAGTTTCATATAGTCATCGGCTTTAAAAAATATCTCTTGTATCACTTCTCATTCGGTCAAGATAGAGATATTCGATTTACCGTCTTTCATGACACCACCATCATCAAACTTAAGCCTTTTCCAATGACTGCAAACTTCATCCATTCTTATCAGGCTACCAAGTTTCACCTTCTTTGTTATAAGACAAGCACATGTTAGACCATAGATTTTCACAATTATGCAACCACGTTTTGCACTATCGGAGCCGACATAGTGAGAATAAAGATTGTTGTCTTTAAATTTGTGTTCTAAAACTGTGATGCTCCGACCAAATGATTTATGTATCTTATTATGCTGGTTCTAGATCATTTGGTTCACAGATCCTCAATCTCTTCACAAACCACCCTTACTATTCTCAACCAACTCTTCAATGTAGCATTGGCAGACTCAACTCGATTTGTTGTTGTATTCCCAATATGTTTAACCAGATCGGCCCATGCATAAAAAAATTTCTCCTTCACCTGATCCAAAATTGTGCTTTCAACATATTTCAACAAATCTAGATATTTATCGCACATCTTCCTGAAATGTATAATGGAATCGACATATAACACTTTAGTAGAAGAAATTACTATAAGATTTTATGCATCCATTATTCTTTCCATATCACAGTCGTCTTCACCATTTTTTCATCTTTGACCTTTATTTGTTTCGTCCTTACCGCGGGTTTAACCTGACTTCTCACATTCTTTGTTATACGACACCTACAAAGTAATGCATAAGAAGTAGGAGATACCTTTGCAACTGGATTCAATAAAGCGGTATCGCAGTCAGTAACAATTACTTTAGGCATCTCTTCTTGGTTCTTCAACATTGTCCGACACACCTCTAAGGCCCAAGTAACATTCTTCTATTTTTCGCTCTCTAAAAATGCAAACCCGACAGAATGGGTCTTCTTAATAGAGGTAACACCAACCATCTCCAATAATGAAAGTTTGTACTTATTGGTCTTGAATGTTGAATCAATGATGAGCATGTCTGGAAACATGTTGAACAACTTGATGAAATCAAGATGAGTCCAAAATATTTCTATAATGTTTACTCCATTCTCGCACATTCAGTACCTAGACACATAATTGTTATCATCCAACAGTTTCAAAAGTTGTTGAATTTTAGTTATATCCCCCGTCAGCACCTTGTTAGTTTGTGATGGGCTAGAGACGTGTCTACTTATGCGTCTAGCGGTATTTTACTGCAAGTGCACAGCCTATCGAAGTAATATAAAAGATTGTCGAACCCACAGAGACCAATGTCAATCTACCGTTATCTATTGTTACGGCGTAAAGCTAAGGCGAATGGTTGTCACGATTTTTGTTGATTTCTAAGACTATTAAAGGCGGAATTAAATTTAAGTTTTGATAAAATAATATTAAGGCGGTCGGTATGTAATTATACTAACTTAGGTGGGTCAATCTAACCTAGGCTTATAAAGGTGTTCACTTAATCTATTCGGTAGAGATTACCAGTTTAAATACCCTCAACTCACACTCTCGTGGTCTTATATCAGATCTTATCCCCAAAGCCCCATGCCTGCTCTCGCTAGCCCATAAGTGTTTAGAGATAATTTTTGGAAACTAAATAATTCTAATTTATCTTAAAGCGCTCTCGCTGTATTTAATTTAAATGCCTAACTTTAGCTATCTGGTTAAAATCTCACACTCTCGTGGTCTTGACCCAACCTAATACTCTTTTCTTACTCTCGTAACGAAAAGGTCTATTTCAATTAAAAAGTATCAGCCAGAATATTAAGTGATTAATTATTTTAGCCTATGGTTATATTTCACCGGTTAAGTTTGTTATAACTACATACCGCCCTAAGGTTTTTAGCTACTCATCGATGTTGAACCAGACAGAGACAGGGAATTTAATAATAATGTACTCATGGCAGAAAAATAAATAAACATTATAAATAAATTAAATTGCAATGTAAATGAAAATACCGATAAAACTAATTTAGCTAGACATGATAATTAGCGTAAATGAAAATAAACATAAACAACAAAATAATGAAACATGCATACTGACAGAAATAAAATAATAATTCAATTAATAAAAACCTGTAAATCGTACTGATCTCGAATCCTTGAGTAGTCCTCCACAATGTCGGCAGGATTCTACTTTGACGAGAATTAAAAGGTACAGGAACAAATAAAGCGATACCAATGAAAATAAAAAGGAAAGGAAATGGGAAAATAATGCAAGAACGTAAATTTGGCTTCAATGGGAAATTTGGCAGCACTTCGATACGAAGGCCTCCCCCCTAAAACTCTGAATCGAAGGCCTATTTATAGGAAATAATTCATTCTTCAACTTCCAGAGATCATGGGTGAATTATGGAGGAAGTGGGAGTAACTTCCAGTAGTGGGCAATGAGTGGAGAAAAAGTAGGAGAAAAAGGAGAAAAGTGCTCGTGGCCACTTCTGTCTTGAACGAACTTCTGTTATTTGATGCATGACGGTCGTGACATGGCCGTGACGATCGTGAAGGCTGTGACGGTCGTGACGTGGCCGTGACGATCGTGAAGGCTGTGACGGTCGTGACATGGCCGTGACGACCGTGACAGTCACAAATTCTGTTTTCTGCTATTTTCTGTATTTTTCTTCTCTTTTTCTTTCTTTAGTTCAAATTCTCCCCAATCTGCAAAACAAAGTAAATTAATCATATAATAGAACATAAA